AATGTTTTATTGAGAACTTTAATGTTTTCCAATTATTAAATACAATTTAGTTCTAACATTATTTGATTTGAAATTAGCTGTAAATAATATGAATATTATTATACGACTACTTATGCTTAAAGTATTTTAACGATTTTAGTGTTTCATGTATTTTATTACAAATATATAATAAGTTATAATAAATTAAATTTTCTAATTCTGATAATAAAATTACATTAAAAATACTTAAACATAAATATTTTTTAAATTTGTTTCTAATTATTTATCACAAAACAATCTAATTGTATTTTTCATACAATTTATGTCTGTGTAGTATTTATTGTGTAAATATTAAAATGATTATACATTCTTGGAACCAAGAATTAGGTAGAGCTATATTGAATAGAGTGTAAAAAAGCAAATAATGTTTTATTGAGAACTTTAATGTTTTCCAATTATTAAATACAATTTAGTTCTAACATTATTTGATTTGAAATTAGCTGTAAATAATATGAATATTATTATACGACTACTTATGCTTAAAGTATTTAAACGATTTTAGTGTTTCATGTATTTTATTGAAGAATTTTTACTTAATATAAACTTAAAATATTTACCCTGTACAAATGTATAATAAGTTATAATAAATTAAATTTTCTAATTCTGATAATAAAATTACATTTAAAATACTTAACATAAATATTTTTTAAGTAGAAAATGTTTTTTAATTTGTTTCTAATTATTTATCACAAAAAATCTAATTGTATTTTTCATACAATTTATGTCTGTGTAGTATTTATTGTGTAAATATTAAAATGATTATACATTCTTGGAACCAAGAATTAGGTAGAGCTATATTGAATAGAGTGTAAAAAAGCAAATGCTCAAGCTAATATCTGTCTTTTTAGTCATTAAATACTATTTCTTGCATTTATATTTCCAAATTTGTCTTTTATTGAATTCAAAGTTTGATTTATTTGAAAATGTGATAACAGTTACTAATGCTGTAAAAGTATACATTTGCGTATTTATTTGAAATTTAATAATCATTTTTGGTTTTCACTTTCAACTAAAATAATACTTTTGTTTAAAGAATAGGAAACCAATAGAAAATGTTTGAATAACTTTGCACTGCATAGCAATTTGAAACAATTTATATTGGATTTTATAATAAAATTGTATATTTTAAAGACTTGTTGAAAAGTAAATCAAAGATTTTTATTTGATTTCAGATTTTAAAATGTTTGAATAACTTTGCACTGCATAGCAATTTGAAACAATTTATATTGGATTTTATAATCAAATTGTATATTTTAAAGACTTGTTGAAAAGTAAATCAAAGATTTTTATTTGATTTCAGATTTTAATACAATTGTGAGAATGTGTTTAAAATGACTTTCATTTAGACATACGTTCAATAAATGCCAAAAATTTGGAAAGTTTTGGATCTCAAGAGTGAAATAATAGTGAGAAATAAAGTGATTTATTTGACAAAACCTGATTGTATTATGTGATCACAGATATTGATTTGTGTTGTATGAAAAATACATAAGACTTATAGATAGACATTTTATTTGATCATTAAATGTCACTAAAAATAAATGGATTCAATATTTGGGGAATTAGTTTATGTCTAATCAAACAATTTATTAGTGATTATACAAAGCAACACATTTGACAATCAATTTGATTGCGACATTTCTAACCATTTATCTGTTAAAACGCTTAACTTTTGCCATTCAATAGGATTTGCAAACAATAAATTTAGAAGATTTCAAATTTGCCAAAACAAAGATAACATCCCTTCGGTTAGTGGACGCAACAAATCCTGAACTGCACAGCCTTTTAACCGATTGGACACAACTGGCCTCCAAAAGAGGCTTCAATGAGATGAAGTCTCCCGAAAATCTGTTGGTAAGGCTTGCAGAGAGTATTGCCAGACATGCCATCCAAACAACACCCGAGAGTCAGCTATTGCTTGAATACAAATAACACTTAAATGAGATTTTTTGCGAACCATTTGACTCCAGAAAACAATAAAATAAAATTAGGTTTTATACAAATATATATAATTTTGAGCCTATTTTTCAACTAAACGGAAAAGTGAAAGTAAATTGTAGTTTAACTAAAATGCATAATAAAAAAAGATTACTGAATATCAAACAGAATATATTTACATTTGGTTTAAATATTCAAGTATTTTATTCAAAGTGTTGGAAATATAATATTTTCCTATTGACTTTTACAGTATTTCAACACAATTATAATATAATAAGAGTTTGTTAAGAATCACCATGTTTAATAGTATTTAAAATGTAAATTATTTTCTTTATAATTATAATTAGAGTAAAACAATATTCATTTACTCAGTATTTAATACTGAATTAAATAAATCTTTGTTTAACATTTGTTTACATTACCAGTATATAAGTAGTCATTTGTTAGTATATTTTTATTGTATAGTTATGTGATTTACAGTTAACACTTGACTTACAAATTGTAAGTTACAATCCATTACTTGATTAGTTTTCACAAACATTCACATAGTATTCAATATAAACTCGTGTTTGAGATTGAAAATAAAGTTCACATAATTTTAATTGATACTAAGTTTATACAAATGTTTAGCTCATTGTAGAGATTGAAAAAAAGTTACCAAAAAATCATACTTTTAAACTTTTTCGTTTTTCACAGAAAAAATGGAAAATAATATGCTTTACACACAAAATGATAACCAAAAGATAAACAATTATTTTTGTCATAAATCTATTTTCATATAATTTTTATTGCTTTAATGCTAAGGAAAAAAGAAATGAAAGTTATTATGTCTATCATTAAAATAATTCAGTTGTAAGGAGTTGTGTATACGATATACAACACAGAGAAAATATGATGAGGGGGTCACCAAAACTGCATAGGGCTATAAAAAATTACTGCAAACTTAGAGATTGAAAGCTTTTATGACCTAATTTAATATCCATTGTTAATCTATATGAATGAATAGTTATTAAATAATTGAATTTTTAGAGAATTGATTGCATTTGTAATGTATTAATAGACAGAATCAGCGCTTTTGTACGATTCGGTGAAACTGTTAGCGACGGCACTACAAGACTTGGATCAAAGCCAATCGATAACTATGCCATCAATCAGTTGCCAGAGTGAAAGTCAGTGGCAATTCGGCAGCTCTCTCATGAATTACATGCGACCGGCGAGTACTCTCTCTCTCTCTCTCTCTCGCTCTCTCTCTCTCTCTCTTTCTCTCTCTCTCTTTCTCTCTCTCTCTNATATATGAGATTATGATTTATTATTCATTTAATTTAAATAAACAGTTTATTTCTAATTATGTTTTTTTCTTATTTTTAGTCTCAATTATTATTATTGTTATTCTCTCTCATCAGTACTAATGCGGAACTTTTCTCTATTAAAATATCATAATTCTCTCTCTCTCTCTCTCTCATATTTGCTTAAAACAATAATGCATTTACAATGAATTGACACCAAAATAATTATCATTAGATCACATTCCGAGGCCTCACAGGACTGGTAGACTTCGATCAATTCGGCCATAGAAGCAGTTTTACATTAGATGTGATGACCATTACTGATAGCGGCCTTCAAAAGGTAATACATGAGAGGCACATCTTTGCTAACAAACATAACTGACAATTATATTATAATGACTTTTGTTAGCATTTTCCCGATAATGAGATCAAAATTCTTGCCATATTCTTACAAATAATTTCTATATTACAGTATGATAATAAAATTTAATATTTGATATAATTGATTACTGTAGTTAGTAATAGTTAATTACAGAGACATTGTTAACAGTAAGCAAATACTAGTGATTAGAATTGGGTGTCAGAAAGGGATAAATGGGATGAATTGGATGATATTTGTTCATTTGATACTGTATTGTGTGGAAAGAGTTAATACATTTTAATACACTTGAATGGGACTGAAGTCCAGTTCAAACACGACTGGAGAGCTATTGTGTGGACAAAGTTGGAGGGCTGAGGGCTACGAGCTATAAATTGTATCCATAAATAGTCGACATTTATTTCTGTTGCCTATTATTTATTGTAGTGTTAGATAAGTTTACAGACATCTGAATGATTATCGATTTTTTCGTATCCCTTTAGACCTACAAAAGTAATGCTTATGTTTTTGTTATGAAACCTGAATATAACAAAACATACAAATTATTAGTGTATTTCGACTTAAGATAAGAAAATCGAAAGTTATTTATTCCGAAATCATTAGATCCAAAGACATGGTATTTTCGAGACATAAAACTTCACTTTTTTATACAACTTTTTTGACATCTTTTGCTAGATTTAACTCAATTATAATAAAAATTTTATTTGCGTTCAGATTATTATATGGAAAATTTCGGAGCATTTTTGGTGAAATGAAGTTTTTATATTTATTGTATATTTTAGTATTAATTGGTTTTTACATAATTTTATTGCTCTTTTCAGTAGTGATGAAAGCTTTTCATAAAAGATATGAATTTTATTCTTCTTGAGACAAATTAAGTGCATGGTTACATTGCATACATACTATAAGCACATGAAATATATTTGAAATTTATTCACCCATTCATTGAATTTGCGGCCGTATTACAGAATAATTGATTTTATGTTAATTCAGTAATAAATTAACTTTTTATGTGTTTGTCGTCAACTGCTTTTCTCAAAACTCTTTGTCTGAACCGTCTGTTAAGCAAAGGATTAAATGATAAATGATTTCTAACGACCTTATCTCGAGACCAGTCACTGATCATCAGAGATTAACTATGATTTACAATTAATTATTAAAAAGTAAATTACATATTTTAAAATATGTTTTAAATTATGTTGCGAAACAAAATTGCAATTCTGTTATATATATAATTTTGAAACCAAAACAAAGAATATGACGAGAAATAAGATAAAGGGATTGTTGCATTGATATGATTATTTGAAAACCTTTAACTGAAAAATGTGTTGGATTTGGATGTGCATCAGATTGGTTACTGGAGCGGAAGTCAGCCCTCTCAGCCGCTCAATATAAGTGAGGAATGGAGAGATAATTACTCGATAATGTCTTTGGCAAACCAGACACTGACAGTGACCACTATTATCAACGCTCCGTATTGTATGCTTCGGGAGTCGTCCAAAACAAAGGAGGGAAACGATCGCTTCGAGGGATATGTCGTCGACTTAATCGAGGAGTTGTCGAAAATACTGGGATTTAAGTATAAATTCAAACTCGTCGCCGACAACGCATACGGCGCTAGAAATGAAAGCGGATATTGGAATGGACTCATAGGTACGGTATCTCTAGTTTCAAAACACATCCATTATATGCTTCTCGCCACTTCGGGGGTCGCCAAGAGATTCACTCAAAGTGATTTTCAGTAAACATAATTGAGAAATCAAAAAGTTTTTGACAACTTATATGTAATCCTCAATTTCAACGAATAGTTTTGACAATAATTTGCGAGAAATTGACAGTTATTTTTAGGTGACAAATACTAGTTATTTTGGACCCCTTTGCAATTATATCTATTACTTCTAACATTAATCTCTTGGTTTTAGTTTTTGTTACACTTATTGTCCGTATAATCATAGCCACAGAGTAGACTTCACTAGTCTTTAAGACACAAAATATTATGATTTTTATGTTTTTATCGCAAGACTGCTGTCAAGTCTGGGATTTAATTTAGTTTTGGAAGAGAGAAGACATATATAACTATGATTTGACTGAAGAAAAGCCTGTATTTTAGGAATAATTGCATTATACATTATTGGGTTATTTTTAAGCATAGTAGTTTTCAATTATAGAATAGGCATGCAAAATATATAACTTACTCTATATTATGTGAACCATGTATTTAACATGTAACTATTGTATTATAAAGTTGATTAATATTTTATTTAAATTAATAATAATATAAATAATTTATTAATGTATTGATTTAAATATATTATCAGGATTATGGGTACAAAAATTTCATAGTTTATTCTTACCAATCGTTAAAACATGTGACTTGATTTTATAGCTGTATTACAAATATTAAATCATGTCCTTTTTTAAAAAAAAAGTTGAGATATAAGTAATTCAAACTTTATTTTTATTGTAAAGATTACTTTTTATCAGCTATTTTGTGTCAATAAATAATATTTGATTCAAAAATTCTTTCTATTCATTGGTGAACTCAAATAGGAAATACAGTAGTGTTATGATTTTTACTATATTTTAGTAATATACTGTACTATCTAGTACTATCTATCTGTACTATCACTTTAGTACTATTTTCCTTTATTATTTGACATGTTTTCATTGAACTCTTTTTAAGTTTAAATTAAGGTTTAATAATTAAGTATTTCTTAAATCAGACAAAATTCGTTTTTCCTTTCTAATTATTTATTAACATATTTTTATAATATTGCTTACATCTTAATTACAGTATAACAAAACTAACTATAACCATTGGGGTTAAAAACTTAGATAGTAGTGCTATATTAATATTAATTAATAGTTTCTATGAAAACCTCTATTTTCTAAATTAAAAAAGTTTGTACATTTAATTATTAAAGGATAATATAAGAATTTTTCTTAATATATAATAATGTTATGAAGGCTTATATCATATAAAATATGTACAGTAGTGTACAGTACATATTATACAGTAGTTGTTAATAATTGATAGACATAGATGTACTATTATACAATCACTACAATTGGATGTTATACACAATTATAAGACAACCACAGAATTATGGAGCTATACATTGATTGAGATAATATTATATTAACAAGTCAGTTTTTATACCGTATTTATTGTATCATTTTATAACTTGTAAAATTTATTACTTCCGAAAACAATAACTATTTTACTCGCATAATCACTTTAAGTTTACTTTAATTGATTTATTTTGCTTAATTAAAATATAATTAAATATTCTTTGAATGTAATTTATAATTAAAAACTCAAATGGAGAGAGAGAGAGAGAGAGAGAGAGAGAGAGAGAGTGAGAAACAATTTCTATGGTATGACTTATAAAGAATTACTGAATAACAGACAAAAATAAAAATAACCCAAAAATATGAGATAAATAAAAGGCATAAAAGAAAGGATTTTTTTGTTAGAAAACAATATCATATATTAAAAGACATATAATATTATGCGAAAACAATGCGACGACAAGTAATGTTAGTCATAAAATGCGATTTTGATAATAAAAGTGTTATTTTCTTTACATAAAACAAATAATGTTACTCTCAAAGCATAATAATTTGAAAAATCGTAAGGAAAAGTGGTTCAAAAGCTAATAATTCTTGCTTTTCTTATTGACGTTAATTTCAGGCGAAATAATCAATGGAAAGGCGGACATCGCTATCGTGGACCTGACCATCACATCAAAGAGGGCAGAGGCGGTCGACTTCACCCTTCCCTTCATGAACACCGGAATTAGCATATTATTCAAGAAGCCGACCACCAAAGTGACTACTCTTTTCTCATTCCTGTCCCCTTTCTCTAACGTGGTTTGGGTGTATGTGTTGGCCGCCTACGTGGGCGTCAGTTGCATACTCTTCATTGTGGGCCGACTGTCGCCCTACGAGTGGGATAACCCCCACCCCTGTCGTCAGGAGGACTTTGTGCTCGAAAACAACTTCAGTCTAACGAACAGCTTTTTCTTCACGATTGGCTCACTTATGCAACAGGGCTCAGACCTCACGCCCAAGTATGTCCACGTTATGCCACTATATTTCATTGCCAACCGATTCGTACATTTCAATGAAAAACAAATATAACACTATTTTAGTCTAAAATATCATTTGAATATGATTTCCAAAACAAATCATAAGAGAATTGATGAATATTTTTCAAGTCATGGCTACAGAACATGCGATCGTCTCATGGATTTAGCCTTTAGATTGAGATTTTGAAAATAGGTTACATTAGAGGCGCATATAATATTCAAATATTTATATTTCATAACTCGATTGAAGGGCTCTTTAAAATTCAGAAATTGTAACAAAAATATCAAAAACCCCTCATTTGATAGAGTCATCAGAAAAGCAGTGAATTCATTGTTAAACTACTTCATAGACATTAAATTATAGTCAGGCTTTAGAGCGGAATACATAACATCTCATAACTCATGAAACAAAAAATTGAAAATTTAATTTAATTTAATTTAATGCAAAGAAAGCAACAAAAAAAATTTGAAGGAAATATGAAATGTTGAGAACACTTCACACGAGATATTATAGAAAATATGACATTTATGTCTATGAGCTATTGCTATGAGCTATGAATGAACACAACTGTGAGTTTTTATTATTTTTGTATCTAATATACTGTATATTCATCCAAATATTTGAATGCTAACACAAATAAAACACAGAATTCATATATGAATACAAATAAGGAAAATCTAATATAATTCATACACAGAATATTTGATATAATTATTGTATGTATTTCAGAGCGATGTCTACGCGAGCCATTGCAGCCATTTGGTACTTCTTCACATTGATAATGATCTCCTCCTACACCGCAAATTTGGCCGCTTTTCTGACGGTAGAGAAAGTGATTTACCCGATAGAAAGCGCCGAAGAGTTATCGATGCAGTCGAGCATAGAGTACGGGTGTCTGGCCAGTGGGTCCACCAAATCATTCTTCCAGGACTCAAACATTACTACTTTCAAAAGGATGTGGGATTTCATGAAGACTAGGGATGTCTTTATGCCTAAGAATGTGGACGGAAAGCATAGGGTTGAGAAGGGAAACTATGCCTATGTATGACACCTCACAAATACCTATTCCTATAATACCTCTAATGTTATGAATAATTGAATTTTGATTGAATGCACGACTGGTTGGTGTGATGTATGGATCAGTTGATGGAATCGGCGTCTATTGAATATATAGTCGAAAGGAATTGCAATTTAACACAAATCGGAGGATTACTCGACACTAAAGGATATGGAATCGCGACTAAAAAACGTCAGTTTAATCATTTGTATAATTTATTGCATTTCTCCCTTGATATATACGAATAGTACAGCACTTTGTTTTAGTTTTTAACTATACAACAAAACAAAATCTCATTAAATTGGTATGCAATGGCCTACGAAATAGACATTAGTTATTCAATCATTTACTTCTATTATATAACCATTAGTTTACAATAAAGTATAAGTTCTGAACGTTTGTCTAAATGTTGTTATTCTTAACTAAAGTTGGGATTCATTTCAAAAATCTATTTTTCCATAAATCCTATCAAAGTATTAGACCGACTATATATTTTAATGTATAGTATTATATTATCTGTCATACATGTGATTACATTAATACTAATTTCACGTTTTGGGTTGAGATATAGAGTCGGCAATAAAATTCATGAGAAATGATTTGACAGAGAAATCGCAGTATCAGGAAATGTAATCAATCACTGAAATACATATTATATATTAAGAATAATACAGTATGTCTCTTTTGAGTATTCAAATAATTAATGTATTCTCTCTCTCTCTCTCTCTCTCTCCCTCTCTCTCTCCCTCTCTCTCTCTCTCTCTCTCTTTCTCTCTCTCTCCATTCTTATCACTTTATTTTAATTCTTATCATTTATAACATTTCTAATATATATATAATTTTGTCTAAAATTCTCTGTTCTTGAGCTAAAGACATAAAAAGCAAAATCAGGGCATTATTTAACGCATAAGAGGATGATCTTGTTTTTATTTAAACTCTATCTCATTATTTATTATACAGAATATAGTGTTTCTGTGAATAAAATGCATAAAAAGTTGGGAAACAACATAGAATATGAAATATTTACGAAATAAGTATTTAAAAAATTTTAAATCTCCAAAAAGATACAAAATTATGGTTACATTAAACTTTTGCATTTGAATATTGTGTAACCAAAAATTGTGGCCAGAATTAAATTGACTATTTGTTGTCAATATATAGTGTATGAAAAGTGACACAAAATGTACTTAAATTGATATATGAATTTTCTAAGGCCAGTTTGTGTCACAAATCAATACAAAATTCTTTTGAAATATTACAGAATTGTATCGATAGTTATATGAATATTTTTAAACTACATTTATTCGTAACACAATTCCTAATATTTTGGTGATTTATCACAGAATCTTGGCAAACATTAAATTTTCAAATGCATTGTATAAATTAAATTAATGTTTTTAGTTTTCTACATTTCAAAGGCTTCTTAATCAAAATGCTTTTAAAATGTAATTTCAAATTTAGATTTCATATATAAAGTTAAAAAACAATTTGGCAGAAATAAATTACACATTGAATCGATAAAATAAATCACAAAAATATTTCGCAAAATTAGTGTTTAAAGTGTTGCTCAGATGAAGGGAAAGCCTAATGACTGGCTTCAAGATGAATGCAATAATAAATGGTTGGGTTTAACGATGAGTTACCATTAAATGTGTTACCAATAGATTCAAAGCACCGGAATCTGTTGTCTCAGGCGATACTGAAGCTGCAGGAGACGGGACGCCTGCATATGCTGAAGGAGAAGTGGTGGAAGCAGAAGAAGGGCGGCGGACAGTGTGCCGACGAAGGCAAGAAGTCCTCGTCGGTCACGGCCCTCAAGATTGATAACGTCGGCGGTGTCTTCGTCGTGCTGTTGGGCGGCCTCACTCTGGCCTTCTTTGTGGCCATTTGTGAGTTCATGTGGAGGTCCAGAAAGTCGACGGCAGGATGTGTGAGATAATCACTTTATTGTCCCTATTTTATACAACATTCAAATTATTCATTATATTCTTGTGATTTAGTGTTCAGTGCCTCCCCTTTAGTTGCATGACTATAGCACTGAATATACAATTCTTGAATATTATATAATATATTATGTTTTATTTATTATATGCTTTTATACTGTTTAGCACAACATATAGTCCACACAAACAAAAAATTATTACTTTCTCTCCTTTTGTTAGAGTGAAAATTTTTTATAATAAAATTCAGTAAATCTTACCCTAGATTTCACATCCATATGAAAGAATGTTAATTAAAAAGGCAATAAAAACATTTTATTTTTTAATAGATTCAGTGAAAGATATATAATTTTAATTTTCTGCTCTTTTAAATTATAATTAAAACGAAATTTAATTTTGATTTACAATAGGTTTAAGGGTATAAAATATTAATACCGTAGATATACAGTATACAGTATATGTTTGTTCATTAAAAGCCCAGAATTTAATTTCAATTATAATATGAACTGAATATTCTTTGGCGACAATAGGAAACAATGTGTGAAGAGATGATAAACGATCTGAAGTTTTCGTTCGCCTGTCAGAGTAAGTCTAAACCGGGGAGGAAGAAGACATACCAAACCAATGTCAACAATAGCTCCGACTATAACTCATTATCTCAGCCACAAATCATAAGAGCACAACATTTTAATAAAATTGATTATTAATGTATTACTATATTGACTCTCATTGTTATCATACTCATTGCGATTCATGTTATATAAAAAATATTTGATACCGAGATATACTATGTATATAGAAACAAATTTGTATATGTTAACGCCAAAAGTTTATAAAAATAAATTATAGAGAAACTGTTGAAATAAAAAGTGCTCTAAATTATGACCGATTATAGGGAGCAGTCAATTGGGTCGTAATACTAGGGTTTCAAATCGACTTTTAAAGTAATATAGACTATCTCTGGAGACAAAATATTTCATATAAACTCTAGTACTCGACCAAAATTGACTGCTCATTTGCTCATCAAATATATAATTTATAAAATTGTAAATAAAAAATTTGTTAAAATATATGTAAAATAGAAATGTCACAATTTTAGTAAAATTTAATAAATAAAACAATATTTTAATGATTTGTTATTTCTTATTATTCAACGTCTAACAAATAATTTTTGATTCAATACTATAATAATGTTCATCGTATGAATTGAATTTGCTTTTAAGCCTATAATATAAAATGGATTAGATTTTGTGAGAAAAATATAGTTTTTAATCAAATAATTTTAATGCATTTTTATAACTCAATTCAGTTAGAAAAAATTACTAAAACTAATGTAAAACTTATTATTTTAGTTATCAGTTTATTTGCTAGGAATTGGATTTAGTTTTGAAATCTCATGTTAGCACTAAAAATATTTTAAATTAAGAAAATATTTGAAATCATATTATGAAATGAAACATTAGGGATCAGATGCCAAATAAATTTCATTATATTTATCAAATTCTTGAATTACATGTTTTCCGAAAACACTGCTAATGTTGTATTACCAAGAAATAGACATTATAATTATATAAGATATTTATTTACAAATTAAGTGCATACAAAAATGTAAGTTTTGAAATTTAAATTTATTGGATTATATCTAGAATGAGTTGGAAAAGTCAATGTTATAAAAAGTTTGTGAAATCAGGGATTAATTATAGTCTCATTCATTAAAACTTTCGTTATTAGCCTTAAATGATTCTCATTTAAGTTTTTGCCTTAAAAACAAAGATAACATAATATATTAGATTTGATTCTCCTTTCATTAAATGCAAATGAAATCATGAAAAAAGAATTGAAAATATCTTTTCGTTCACATATCAGGAGATAATTTCAATTGAAATGAAAACAACTCTTATAACTCATGACATGAAAGACTATTCAATGAGTTATTTTTGAATCTAATGTCTGAGTTGTTGTCGCAATCAATAGCTCGACGGATAAGAAATGAAAAATCAGGAAATCTATTGATTGCCTCCAAAAATCTATTTTCATTATATTTTTTGCAATTTTTTATTAAAAGATTCGGAAATAATTGTTTGCACTTAAATCAAATCACACTTTTGTGTCATTAAGAAAAACTCATTTCATTCGCGAGTTATTGTTTATTTTTCTTATATTAAGAGCTGTTTCTAAACTTATTATCATTAAGTAAATATCAATATAAAACTAAATAATAAGAATTTGAAGATTTGTTTGCAAAAAAATCTATAGTTTTATTAATAATTACAAAAGTTTACAAATTTCACCAAAAATTATTTCAAAAAACCTATTAATTTTGAGAAACAATTTTAATTCAATTTTTAATGTAAGTAATATTATTAATAATAAAGTTTACACGAGTTATTGCTTTGAATTTTTTGTCGGTAAATATTTATTTTAAGTGCTGAACACAAAATTGATTTTTATATTTGAGTTAAATATAGTGCTCCCAATCCCTATCCTTTTCATCCATACTACTGAACATGTACAGCATAATGTATGTACTCTACCATGCTTCTATAAATACTACTTATGTTAATCATTCATTAAATAAAGCTCATTTACAGTATTCATTCAATTATTTTATATTTACGTAATTACTATGTATATAGAAACAAATTTGTATATGTTAACGCCAAAAGTTTATAAAAATAAATTATAGAGAAACTGTTGAAATAAAAAGTGCTCTAAATTATGACCGATTATAGGGAGCAGTCAATTGGGTCGTAATACTAGGGTTTCAAATCGACTTTTAAAGTAATATAGACCATCTCTGGAGACAAAATATTTCATATAAACTCTAATACTCGACCAAAATTGACTGCTCATTTGCTCATCAAATATATAATTTATAAAATTGTAAATAAAAAATTTGTTAATATATATGTAAAATAGGTTACAACAAAGAAATGTCAATTTTAGTAAAATTTAATAAATAAAACAATATTTTAATGATTTGTTATTTCTTATTATTTTTGATTTAATACTATTTTACTGTTCATCGTATGAATTGAATTTGCTTTTAAGCCTATAATATAAAATGGATTAGATTTTGTGAGAAAAATATAGTTTTTAATCAAATAATTTTAATGCATTTTATAACTCAATTCAGTTATAAAAAATTACTAAAACTAATGTAAAACTTATTATTTTAGTTATCAGTTTATTTCCTAGGAATTGGATTTAGTTTTGAAATCTCATGTTAGCACTAAAAATATTTTAAATTAAGAAAATATTTGAGATCATATTATGAAATGAAACATTAGGGATCATATGCCAAATAAATTTCATTATATTTATCAAATTCTTGAATTACATGTTTTCCGAAAACACTGCAAATGTTGTATTACCAAGAAATAGACATTATAATTATATAAGATATTTATTTACAAATTAAGTGCATAGAGTGATACAAAAATGAAAGTTTTGAAATTTAAATTTATTGGATTATATCTAGAATGAGTTGGAAAAGTTAATTTTATAAAAAGTTTGTGAAATCAGGGATTAATTATGGTCTCATTCATTAAAACTTTGGTTATTAGCCTTAAATTACTCTCATTTAAGTTTTTGCCTTAAAAACAAAGATAACATAATATATTAGATTTGATTCTCCTTTCATTAAATGCAAATGAAATCATGAAAAAAGAATTGAAAATATATTTTCGTTCACATATCAGGAGATAATTTCAATTGAAATGAAGACAACTCTTATAACTCATGACATGAAAGACTATTCAATGAGTTATTTTTGAATCTAATGTCTGAGTTGTTGTCGCAATCAATAGCTCGACGGATAAGAAATGAAAAATCAGGAAATCTATTGATTTCCTCCAAAAATAAGATATTTTTTCTATTTTTTATTAAAAGATTCGGAAATAATTGTTTGCACTTAAATCAAATCACACTTTTGTGTCATTAAGAAAAACTCATTTCATTCGCGAGTTATTGTTTATTTTTCTTATATTAAGAGCTGTTTCTA